ACAACTGAGAGTGCCTGCCTCAGGGAAGACTGTCAAATACAGGGTAAACACCCCAAACTGATGGTGTGTTCTGTAATGGCATTTTACCAAGCCAGTGGCAAAAGTGAACTCTTGAATCACTGTAACAGTCTTACCACGGAGTCACAGACAGTCCCTTTCAATGCTCCAGTCTGTCTTTCCACCCAGATAAACTGGATTTAGTAATAAATGGTCACTTGTCTTACACCAAAAATTACAACATGTTCAGGTTTCAATAGAGCAGACATTTACCCCCAATTGTTAGTACCCTAGATCTTACACCACATCTTATACTGTAGTCAATTCTATAATAAATTATCTAAAAGTTTATTAGCTAGGAAAAAGAAACAAGTGTGTTGTTTACAGGTTAAAGCAAGCAAATATATTCACAGAAATGAGTTGCCATCTAAATCCTAAGACTGACACAGTTGTAGTGAGCTGTCAATTCAAAGTGTCTTTCAGGACAGCCCCAAGAAGCAGCCTCTGTGGATCTCTAGTTTCAGTTCGAAGTCTCTGACCCTGTCAGAGTTCAAACTGCCAAAAAGATGGCAAGTTTTCTGTGACTTGACTTTATTTTATTTTTGTCATTTAGCTTCCAAGTCCACAATCTTGCCCATATTTGGTTGTGATAGGGCCATTAACCAATCCTGGATATGCCTTATTTTGATAGCCCGTCTGGATGAGCATAGGATGATTCCCAGACCTGGTTTCACAAGTTCAAAGCAAACATTTTCAAAGTGAAACTTGCATGTTTTCTTAGCATGGAGTACTGACATTGCAAGTGAGATGAAAGCTGCAGCAACTTGCAAACATTTCATGATGTCTACACATTAAATGCATTCTTAAAAGACTATCTCAGATAGTCAAAAGGCTATTTATTTTGAGCAAAACTAATAAACAAGTAAACTGATGTGGTTTCTAGGTATGAGTTTGTTAATTTGTAGCAAATACTTGCAGTCTTGACAAGAACTGGCATCTGGCCTACCTGTGTCATAAGCTGCATCATTGACTATTTCCTAATTGAAAGTTTCCTTTCTTCTAGCAGCCTCTCTTTTAGTTTTGCTTTCCCTAATAATTCATTAGCTAAGGGGTCAGCTTTTTAGTTAGATAATTACTGTGCAAACAGTTGCCTGCTTTACATAGTTAATAAGTTAGCATTTGGTGGTGGTGTTAGCATCTGCACAGGAGTTTTGGCATAACTCATCTGGAAAGAAGTGGAAGAAGGCATGGCCAGCACATGGTGTGCTGCAGTTTTGAACTGCCTTTGGAAATTGCAGAGTGAAGGGGAGCAAACATAACAGAATTGTAGGAGGCACTGCTAACAGAAATTATGGGATAAGAAATTTTTCATTTGCTACTGCTCAGCCCGTGTTGCTTCTGTCAGCAAGTCTTCAGTGCATAAATATAAGTTGCTGCAGTGCAGAATGTGAAAATGAGGTTAGAGAGATAGGAACAGATGATGAATAGAAGAGCTTGCGTCTAAATAATTCAGTTTACATTGAACCATATCAATACCAATATTGAAAGAGAACTTCAAGCAGTTACGGTTGTTTAAAGGGGAATACCTACTCACAAACTTCCTTAAAAACAAGGGAAGTTCAGTTAAGCTATGCTTCTTTAAAAGTACCTTAATCCTTACATGCTATGTTCACTATCATATTCTGTCCCTTTATGGCGTTGTCTACATAGCGGGTTATTTTTGAATAAAGGACGTTATTCCAAAATAACTTTGCAAGTGTCTACACAGCAAGCCCATTATTTTGAAATAATATTGAAATAATGAGATCTTATTCTGAAATCTGTAACTCTCATTGTACGAGGAATAACGCCTATTCCAGAATAGCTATTTCAGAATAGGACATGTGTAGACAAGGCAAATGGAGTTATTTTGATATAAATGGCCTCCAGCCCTTCCCACAGGTGCCCTGCTAGCCACTCTGTCCACACTCATCATAGAATCACAGAGCTGGAAGAGACCTCAGGAGGACATCAAGTCCAGCCGCCTGCCCAAGGCAGGACCAATCCCAACTAAATCACCCCAGCCAGGGCTTTGTCAAGCCAAGACTTAAAAACCTCTAGGGATGGAGATTCCACCACCTCCCTAGGTAACCCATTCCAGTTTTTCACCCTCCTAGTGAAATAGTTTTTCCTAATATCCAACCTAGACCTCCCCCACTGTAACTTGAGACCGTTACTCCTTGTTTTGCCATCCATCCCTACTGTGAACAGTCTTTCTCCATCCTCTTTGGAGCCTCCCTTCAGGAAGTTGAAGGCTGCTATCAAATCCCCCCTCACTCTTCTCTTCTGCAGACTAAATAAGCCCAAATCCCTCAGTTTCTCCTCATAGGTCATGTGCTCCAGCTCCCTAATCAGTTTGGTCGCCCTCCGCTGGACCCTCTCCAATGCATCCACATCCTTTCTATAGCGAGGGTCCCAGAATTGGACACAATACTCCAGCTGTGGCCTCACCAGAGCTGAGTAAAAGGGAATAATCACTTCTCTAGATCTGCTGGCAATACTCCTCCTAATGCACCCTAATATGCTGTTAGCCCTCTTGGCTACATGGGCACACTGTTGACTCACATTCAGCTTCTCATCCACTGTAATCCCTCTTCTCCTGCAGCCCTTAAAGCTGCAGCCACAGGGGAAAGAGCTTGTGGCTCATGGTGGGCCCGGGCCACTGAGCCCCATAGCAGCTGCCAAACCAGCGTGTTTATGAGCAACTCCATTGCGCCCTCTGAGCCCTCCAAGGCTGCAAGGGAGCTAGCAGCCAGCTCTCAGGACCTTGTCTGAGGATGGAAGAGGTGTGCAGCTTCCTGATGAGGTCTGGGGAGAGGAAGCAAGCCTCCAGGATCTCTGCACCAGGTGCAAGAATGCAGACATCTGCAGCTGGATGGCAGACAGCCTGGCCATCAAGGGCCACATGCATGCCCAGGAGCAGGTGTGCATGAAGGTCAAGGAGCTAAGGCAGACCTATGCCAAGGTCGGGGAGTGCAGCTCCTGCTCCAGGATGCATTGCAGGCCTGCCCATACTACACCCAGTTTCACCATATCCTAGGGGATGGGTCAGTCCCTTCTCTCACCTTGTTATGTACTCAGGGCTGGAGATGCCTGTCATCACCTTCCCAGAGGGCACAGGCAGTGAGGAGGAGAAGGATGAAGTGGAGGTCATGTTCACCCTAGAGCTGGTACCCCAACCCAGGATGTTTCCTGGGCATCATCTGAGGCTGGGGAAAGCCCCTCAGGTGAGTGCCATTACTGTCCCTAGATACACACAGGTGGAGGTGGCATGTGGTGAGAGGCAGTTGCATCCGTCTCTCGGCATGGGGATTGCATAGCGCACAGCCCCAGGAAGCAGCAACAGAGGACCCTTGTGCTCTTGCTTACAGGGTATCTGGAGAGGCCTGCCTTCTTCCCAACCCTAGGGTGGGACACCCTTCCATCACAAGCCACCGCTAGACAGAGGGTGGGGACATGGAGAGACAAAGAGAGCGACACACTCACTCAGGAGTGCTGTACATGGCACATGGGCATGGCCACACTTCCAGGGTGGCATCTGCTTCTGGGGACAGCACGGTGAGGCACAGGAGTGTCTGCCACTCACACACACCTCCCCACAGCACTCTGCCCCCCTCTCTTCCAGTGGGCAGGGATACAAGTCCTCTCCCTGTGGGATGCTGCCACTGCCAGACGCGACATGTGTGCAGCACAGAGGGAAGACCAGCTGCCCTGTAGTTCCTCTCCTGCCCGTAGGCTCCCGGTCTGGCTGGCACCTTCCCATACTTCCTTGTCCCAGGAGCATGACTAGGCAACAGATGACTTTGCTCAAAGCACATTGTCTTCGTCTGACACATGGCTGTATGGGGGGGATCCCTATAAGCTCAAGCCTCAGAAGTGACTGCTGTCCTGATGCCCTGCTTGAAGTGCTCCCGAGTGGCCTTATCAGCGTCCAGTGAGTGTGGATGCTCTATTTTGAAATAGATCAGCACTGTTTCGATGGGCATTTGCCATGTACTCCTCCAAAGTAGCTTATTCTGAAATAAGTGTGCAGTGTAGACATGCTATATAAGTCCCATTCATCTTCAGCATATTCAGTAAATATAATATTATTATAATATTAATACACATAATATAATACACATCCTCACAATCACACTGTAACACAAAATGCTAACTCAGACACATAGCAACAGTAACTTACACATTTGTTAGTTATCTGTAGCCCAATAAAGTATATAATGTGGTGGTGTCTTATGAGAAAGAATGAGTTGATACTTTTTTGTTGGATTTCTAAAATTTTGTCACCCTTGACCCCACCATTGTAGCAAAAATTGCCCTCTGTTTGTGGAAAGGACATTAGTAATGAGCTTTTGAATTTAATTATTTTTCTGCCTTCAAGAAGAATCTGGTGTTAACGGCACTACACCACTGTCTAGAGGAGCTTGACTTCAAATGCTAGAGACTTTGGGGGCAATATTTTGAAACCTGCCTCTCAGAATTGATTCATGGATCTTGGATACATAAAATCTATAATTGAATATACTTTGGGAAAATATTTGTGTGTAAAAATTAAAAGGCTGTTTTTAATTTTTATGTGAAATTAAGGGGAGAAAACTTTATCTTCAGTATTCCTTTTTTTAAAGGTTCTACAGGAATTACAAGTAGTGGATGAAATATGCTGTAGGTATAACAAATACATCATACATCAAATCAAAGATTTTATTATTTGTTTTAACAAGACCTAAGTGTTCTGTGAACTAGTTGGAGTTTGTGTTATAACTTGATCTTCTTGCTGTTGTAGATCGCTGACATTACTTGAGTGTGTTTTCTCTGTGGCTTACTGTGTTAAATGATGTGGTGTTTACAAGCCACTTGACATAGAACAAAGTATTTTAGTGTTCTGTTTGAATGAGTAGAATAAATCTAAAAATAAAACCTTTGTTTCTATTTTTAGGGTCAATTTTAATTTTTTTTTCTTTCAGATCCACTATAAAGAAGAGTATGAAAAATGTAAAGGCAAATTCACATCTGACACCCCTCAGTTAAATCATGTGAAAAATCTGAGTGCTTTTATTTCTCAGGTAAGATGTAAAAGAATGCTGAATATTCTTCAGTGCTTAGTTACTAACAAAAAAATCACCAAATGGAATATTGCAATTTTTGTGTGAGTTGGCTGGGGAGTCTATTAATATCAGCTAGCAAGAGAATCCAAAAGTTGTATTGGGTTATAATAACAGTGTCACTGCACTATGCAGTTTGTGTGTAATGGTAATTTAAAATTGCATAACTGCTTTCCTTTAGCACCCTGCAGCATTTGATAAACATTAAATGTAAATAGTTCTGGGGGAGTAGATGTTACCCCTTGTGAACTGGGGGGCCTGCTCATCAATCTGGGATAATCAGCCATACTTGGTTCTGTTCGTGACATTTTCACCAGGGCTCTATTTATTTTTCAACTCAAAACAAAACAAAAATCAAAATGATTAGAAAAGCAGTAGTCCTGTTCTTGACTAGAATTGTGGGATTTTCTGGCCTCCAGAAACTGAAAGGTCTGGACATCCTTGGATTTGCCCTCTCAAAGCCTTCTGCTGCAACCAGAGGAGACTATGCACTTAGCTGTCTCCAGGTTGGGCTCCCTCATGGAGGCTACGTCTAGACTGCAAGACTCTTTTGAGAGAGGCTTTTTCGAAAGTTATTTTCGAAAAAGCTTCTTTTGAAAAAGAGCATCTAGACTGCAATCTCTTCTTTCGAAAAAGTGAGCCGCTTTTTCAAAAGAGAGCACCCAGGCAGTTTGGATTCTCTCTTTCAAAAAAGCCCTGTTTGCATTCAAGAACGCCTTTTTTCAAAAGAGCACTTTTGAAAAAAGGCGTTCTTCCTCGTGAAATGAGGAGTACCACCGTCGAAAGAAGAGCCGCGTTCTTTCGATTTAATTTCGAAAGAACGTGACTGTAGTCTAGACGCAGGTGAAGTTTTTTCGAAAAAAGGCTACTTTTTTCAAAAAAAACCTGAAGTCTAGACACAGCTGGAGGGTGCTCTTCTCTGATATCCTGCACTGGGAATGAGTCTAGGCTCTGTCCTGCTGTGCCAGCTGATTCCCCACACCTGCTTGCTGGCCTTCCCTGCAGAACTGTACCAGTTGCCCCTTGCCGGTATATGTGGGTAGTGGGCTTAAAAGCCAGCTCCGCGGGAGCTGGTGCATGCAAGGAGCCACCTCCCCGTAAACATGTAACCTTTGGCATTTTCAGTGGTTACATATTTACCAAAATAAATGCATTTTAACATCCCTAATTCATATACATTTCATATATTTTCTCTGAAATGTCAGTGCTAGTGAACTGAGACCAAATAAAGAAGCACACAAGCACATGTTTGCTGCTTTTCTGACATTTATCTTCATGTGTCAGGAATAGGTAGGATAACTCATGAGTTGGAATAAACATAATGGAATTATTCTGAAGTTTCTTATTCACAAACATGAATGTCATAACGGAGATGAGACATCACACAATCTAAAGAAGCCCAGTATATGTGAAGTTATGTGCTATCTTGTTTAGTATCAGACAACTACAGCATGTGATGTTGCTGATTATTAATAAAACAATACTTAAGATTTAATATGCAATGAAAGCTAAAAAATTGCTTTCAGTTTCAAAGGTTTTTTAGGCTTCTATTGAGATTGCATGTTTTGTTGCAGTGGTTGAATCTGACAAAGCAATAGATGACTAAAATTGTAAATTGCTGACCTCTAGTGTTCCATAGCCTTTCGTGAAGAATGTAGGTATTTTTAGCATTGTATTTTGTCATCTGTTTTCAACTTCCAAAAATCTGGAGAAAATTAATTTTCTGGAAGAATTTAAAAACAGTGCTTAATAGGAATAACCAGAGTAATAAATTAGACATGCTCCAGTTGGTGCATGTCAATTAAATATTATAATGCATTTCTGTTGGCATATTCCTTATAACTGTGATTACATTTAGAGGTAGTATCTGACACTGTTTTATGAATTTAAAATTTGTGTCAGATCCTGAGATACTTGGCCTTAGAGAACAAAAGCAAGCCGAAAATTCAGTACTACTTTTCTGGCTCACATCACAAAACTCTGTTGTTTGTTTATCCACTGAAACACAATGTGCAAAACTCCCGAAATCTGAAAATATATAGATAATTTTGCTTTTTGGATCAAGAAGTGAATTAGTAAGTGATAGATTTTTATTTATTTATTTATTTTTTTGCTGATCCTTCTTGCCTCATTGAAGGCTTCCTTCAAAATGACTTCAGTTTAACTATAAAGTACATTACAGTGTTTCATGGATTATATCCACTAATCTGACATACAATGTGATTTCAAAATCAGTGTGTGTGTTCTTAATTTACTCTATAATATTTGCTTAGGTCTTTTCCAGTAGAAGCTTCCTCATAACATTATACTTCAAGGTAAAAGTTTAGTTTTTATGTGATTCTATTTGAATTAATTTCTGTATTATTTGTCTTTTTTACCCCTAGGCAAAGTACAAAGGATCTGCTAAAAAAGACCTTTCCAATTCTTTGTATAAACTGATGCCAGCCACAATTGACAGTGTTTTTGCAAGGCAAGTTACACAGCTTCAGAGCAAGGTAAAGTTTAAAAAACAAGTTATTTTTAGATGTTACACAACAGAACACTACTAACTCCAGTAGCTTTAAACAGATATTTTCTTACATATTTGATTTACAGAGTCAGTTTCTCAGTGAGTGTATATTGTCACAGCTCTATTGACTTCAGTGGAGAATACTGCATTTTACACCATCTGATGATATTTCTTATGTTCAGTAAAAAGTATTTGAAAAACAGTAAGTCATTTAGTAATGCATACATTAATTATTTGATACTACTGAGTAACGCATGGAAAAGAAGACAAATCAAATTTACATTGCAGTCTACATGATCCAAGTGTTACATTGGCATTGTAAGATTTTTATCAACTCCAGTTGATGGCTGGGGGAGACGGCATGGGGGCAGCTGCCACAGGGCCTGGTGATTCAAATGAGTTCCGGGGCTTCCGGCCACTGCTACTGTGGCAGTGGAGGCAACAAGAGCCCTGAGCCCTTTAAATTGCCACCAGAGCCCTGCGCAGCATGCTCCGGGCGTTTCTGAGGGCTGGCTGGGGGAAAGGGTTTTTAATGCCAATGCTTGCACCTCTAAAGCCTTCCACCCTTATGTTCCCCTGGAGTGAGGCAGTGCTGCAAAGCTGATCACCACCTGCCTTCTTGCAGCAGTTTCTCATCTTGGTCTCTCCTCAGTGGTCATAAAGCACCGCTGCAATGGCATCCCCTGCTTTCAGTGAAGCACGGTCATTAGATTCCGACCAGTTAGAGATCAAAAGGCTGACTTCATTATCTAATCCATATTTTTTGCTAAAGCCCCATTGTTCCCTGCAGCATATTTTTAGTGTTTTCTCCAGTCCAGTTGTGTCACTCAGATTTAGGGTTGCCAGGTGTCCAGTATTCTACTGGATAGTCCGGTTTTTGCACCCTCTGTCCAGTAAAGAAATTCAGAAACGCCAGGCTTCCATTCGGTGCCCAACCGGAAAAACAGAAAATACCGGACATTGCACATGTCCGGTATTTTCTGTTTTTCCGGTTGGGCACCGAATGGAAGCCTGGCGTTTCTGAATTTCTTTACTGGACAGAGGGTGCAAAAACCGGACTATCCAGTAGAATACTGGACACCTGGCAACCCTAAATCTGAGTGACACAACTGGACTGGAGAAAACACTAAAAATATGCTGCAGGGAACAATGGGGCTTTAGCAAAAAATATGGATTAGATAATGAAGTCAGCCTTTTGATCTCTAACTGGTCGGAATCTAATTCCAGATTTCTGCATGCAACCAGAGGGAGTCCCAGGCTGGGAGGTGAGACTGCAGTCGGTGCTGGGAGCCTCTGATTGCATGCAGAAGCTGGGCAGGGGCGGAGGGAGTGGCTGGGAGGCGGGGCGCAATTGGCGCTGGGAGCCCTCAGCTGATTGTGTCTGAGAAGGAGTGATGCCTTGGGGAGGAGGAGAAGCCCTGTCCCTGCTCCTGAGTGTTGTTCAAGTGCGTTGTGGCACCGTAGTCCAGGAGAGAAGCCCGCAGGTGCTTTGTGGTTGCGTTTAGGCGCCTTCCATGGGCTCGGGGTGGAATTTCTGCTTCTTCCCACTGGGACACTCAAAGACCTGGCTATGGGAGAAGTCACCTTCCTACACCTTCGTCGTCCCCCCCAGCCCTGCCATTGTGTGTGCCCAGGGTCTGCCTCTCTCTGCTTTGGGTAGCAGGTGGCTGTTTTGCAGAGCAGGCTCTACTATCTCCCCCTTTGTTCCCAGTTTGGTTGTGTGTTTGGTGTGGTTTTTTTTTGCTTGACAAATTTTTTAGCCCATGTGTTGAGTATTTTTTGGGAGACCAACTGGCAACCCTACTCAGATTGCATTTGTGGTAGAAAGTACTTATGAACTCAAACATTTTTTGTTGGAAGTCCATAAGTCTAAGTGGCAAAAAATCAGCTTTGAACTTATGCATTAAATGTCTATCTATAAGTAATGCTCCCTATCTGCCAGTTATTTACATGTTTTAGGTGTGTCTTCCCAGTCTCTTCTATTTTAAATACATTCGCCACTTTTTTGAGACCTGCTAGATCAGCAAAAGCAAAAAGCATAACATGAAGCACAGTCAGGATTTCTATTCCATATTAAATACAGTAAGTCAATCATTCAACATACTGATGTTCTCTGGAAGTTCTTAAAATACTGTAACAATTCCTTTTGCAAATGAAAATAACTACCCATCATAAAGGGAAACACTGAAATCTTAAATGAGGAAATAGATTTTTATTTGTACACTGACTTATCGAGTCAGCATTTGAAACTCCACAAGGGTGGCAGTATATCAGTCATGTCTGTAAAAGTCAAATGTATTACTGTGAAATATATTTCTAGTAGTTTGAAACAGAAATCTTAGTGCAATAAGTTAATTCAGAACAGTAACTAAAATGACATCAACATACCATGCCATTGTAAAATTATTGATTATAAGACTTAAGTGATATTGCTGTAGCTAGATTTGTCCCAGGGTCACAAGGGCAATGTCTACACTGCAGTGCTATTTCAGGATCCTGGATGTTTCCTGAAATAGCTATTCCACGTCTTTTGAGCAGGTCCGTTATTTTGTAACATAACAGGCTCACTATTCCAACATCCCTGTAAACCTCATTTCAAATTTCAAAATAAGCTACACAATTTATTGGTCCAACTTCTGTTGGTGAGAGACAAGCCTTTCAGCTTATACAAAACATATTATGTCACCTACCTTGTCTATCTGATTATAATAGTTATGGTTTAAATAAATTACAGATTATAATAGTGATAAAGTAACAAAATTGTATAATGTTTTTTAAACACTTGGTTTGATTTATAAAGCATCAGTTAATTAGTTTGCCATGGGACTTGCTCCTGGATCCATTCCAAATGAGAATATTCTACAGTAATTATGTTTTCAGGTTTCATGTATGAAATCATATTTTCTTACACACCAGTGATGTTAAGGAAAATATCTGAGAGTAAAAACATTTGAGTCATAAAAAAAAATCACAAAAATAAATAGGGGCTGCCCTTTTCATATAACATTTATTCAAGATTTTGCCGAGTCGTCCAATATTCCTAAAGAAATAAATATGAAATAAAGAGTAGTTGCCATTCTATGCCACAAATGCTTCCTTTAGAGCTTATAATTATAGAATCATAGAATACTAGGCCCTCGAGAGGTCATCGAGTCCAGTCCCCAGCCCTCATGGCAAGACCCAGTACTGTCTAGACCATCCCTGATAGACATTTATCTAACCTACTCTTAAATATCTCCAGAGATGGAGATTCCACAATCTCCCTAGGCAATTTTTTCCAGTGTTTAACCACCCTGACAGTTAGGAACTTTTTCCTAATGTCCAACCTAAATCTCCCTTGCTGCAGTTTAAGCACCATTGCTTCTTGTTCTATCCTCAGAGGCCATGAAGAACAATTTTTCTCCCTCCTCCTTGTGACACCTTTTTAGAAACCTGAAAACCACTATTATGTCACCTCTCAATCTTCTCTTTTCCAAACTAAAAAAGCCCAGTTCTTTCAGTCTTCCTTCACAGGTCATGTTCTCTAGATCTTTAATCATTCTTGTTGCTCTTCTCTGGACCCTCTCCAATTTCTCCACATCTTTCTTTCTTGAAATGTGGCACCCAGAACTGGACACAATACTCCAACTGAGGCCTAATCAGTGCTGAGTAGAGTGGAAGAATGACTTCTCTTGTCTTGCTCACAACACCCCTATTAATGCATCCTAGAATCATGTTTGCTTTTTTTGCAACAGTATCACACTGTTGACTCATATTTAGCTCGTGGTCCACTATAACCCCTAGATCCATTTCTGCCGTACTCCTTCCTAGACAGTTGCTTCCAAATTCTGTGTGTGCGAAACTGATTGTTCCTTCTTAAGTGGAGCACTTTGCATTTGTCTTTATTAAACTTCATCCTGTTTACCTCCAATTTGTCCAGATCATTTTGAATTATGACTCTGTCCTCCAAAGCAGTTGCAACCCAGGTAGGTATAATATCCCCTTTATGTGTACACACATTATACATTATAACAGACCATAAAACTGAGACTTTGCTGATACATTTTTCAACTTGTGGTGTGAATCAACCAAAAATGTTTCAACTCAGAGTTCTCAAGGTGTTATCCCCAAAAGAGGAAGTGAAGATGGGGTGGTTTCTTTCCTACTGAGCTGAATTTAAAAATGCTTTGAACTCTTACAGGATTCTCTCCTAAAAAATCTTTACAGTATCCAAGTCTAATCTATACTGTGTCTATCACTGTGATATTTAGGAAGTAAATTATTTTAAGCTTCAGTTTAGTCATGGTAAGATATTTGCTGCTTCTCCTTCAATGAGGTTGTAGCTCAGCAGACTGTCATTTTCTTCAAGGAGCAATCTAAGATGGGGAGTAGGATTGTGGGTTTACTGGTCATTATGCTACTACCTATCTTGTGGAAGGGATATTAAAACAGGGTAGAAAAGCCATGCTTTCTTTCTGAGGGTGATTGTTGGGCCATGTCAGGAGGTTGATCATAAAGTTTAGAAAATTTCCACACCAAGAGTGATGATTAGGCGTATTTGTCCAGCTGTTGAGTCTGCCAGAGTCTTCTGGAGGAAGTTGCATGGAAAATTCCTTGGTTTAAGATAGGACAGAAGCACCTAGAAAGGTCAGTTCCTACCTACAACTTACAATCACGTTCCTCTGTGAGGAAAAGCTTGCCTCCATTGAAGTTATTGGCAAAACTCTTGTTAACTTTGGTGGGGCCAGATTTCACCCTGTAGCATTCCAGCCACATAATTTCATATGGAGTGGCTGCATCCGTACTGGAGAGGGCATGATTATATATTCTGCCATGCCTTCCATGCTCACTGTTTAGGTTTGGCTGTAATTATACTTTAGCTTCTCTATGTAATATATAGCTGAGGCACAAATGTGACCAGCTCTGGCTTTTATAACAACCATCTTTGTTCTTGTTATTAAGTATCTGGAAAATGGAAATCCATTCTTGCAAAAATTTTAGAATTTTTGAAAACTTTTCCTTCAGGAACTGGAACAAACAATGAAATGTGATTTCCAAATTTTTTTTTCATGGGGTGGAAGTGGGGTGGGAGGG